GAAGTAAGGGGCCCATCAGGCATTATTAAATTAGTCTGAATTTTGCACAATGTCAGTAGCATTTTCTGTACATTAATAGCAGACTTAATGCTCCTTAGGGGATGTTACTGAAGAAAAATAGCTTCAAGGTAGTATTTGGATATAATTTGAAGTCACTGTATTTCTTACAATGTTTTGTTCCAATTAGTTAAGTGTATTTTTTCCTTCTGTTTTTCTCTGAATAGAAGTTAACAAGAGACAGACAGACAGACACACACACACACCACACACACACACACACTCTCTCTCTCTCTCTCTCTCTTGAATTTCCCAAATTTACTTACTAAGGCCCAGAATTAGTTGTCCCATTTTAACTTCTCCCAGTAACTGGAGCACAGCCAGAGTTAAGCAGCAACAGTTGACTGCAAAGCCACTGCTTCTCTCAGTGATGAATCCTGCTACTGTGTTACCAGTCCTACTGTATTCAGTGGTGCTACATATACTGACTAAAGTATAAACTTTCTGTCCTGTTCCATTTTGGGCTCCTTGATGAGATCATGATTTGTTTCTGTGAAATTTTCTAAAATGCCTCTTTCTTATACCTAAGTATCCTTAGCTTTAATTTATAGCAATCCACATTGTTATTTTACATCACCCACTCTAGTTACCTTGTAGGTCTCTTTTCCCCAGTCCTTCCTGATCCCTCAGGTGTTTAAAAACACATGTCAAGCAGTGATCTCATAGTTTCTTTTTTTCTTTTGTTTTCTTTTCATACTATTTATTCCTTGGACTGGGTTTCACTAAGTATGAACCCCAGCCTATGAGAATTCTAATCTAAATGTATAAACTCCCAAGACTCCCAAGTCCTAGCCTCAAACAAAGATATTAAATAGAAAAGGATGTAATGACACAGACTAGAAATCTGAGACCCAGTTGTTGCATGATAGTTGTATCATACTTTAAATACCTCTGTAGAACTTCTGTTTTCTAATCTACAAGATGGGCTACTGAAGCATGTTTAGTTAAATACTTGGCTCAATCAGTGCTCAGCAAATGGTAACAACTGTTATTACACTGCGATACACCAGATTTAAAATAAATGTTTTTGATAGAAGAATTAAATCTGCTACAAATGCAAACTAATCCTTGGCAAAAATCACTAGATTAATCTTAGTAAGACAGGAAAATAGAACCAATAAAGCTTACCAATGATTAATAGCAATATCTTTGAGTAAAAATCTGCTAAGTGAAAACTCATTAAATAGAATCATTAATTATAATTTATCAGATATATGTTTGCAATAGCTTCTCCCTTAGTTTAAGCAACAATGGTTGACCAACTTATGAGCCTATTGAAAATTATACTAAGAACTCAAAAGGTCTTCTAGTATGTTATAATTTCTTTTCACAAGCATAGTTGAACCTTCATAGAACTAGAAAGTAGGTAGGGGGCAGAAACTGCTAATCTTATTTTTCAATGAGGAATCTGCACAGAAAGGATTTGAACCTGGGTCTTCTGACTCTAAAACCTTTTATTTCATTTTTTCTTACCACCCTGACTGGCATATACTAATACTCTACTGTATCACCAGAAACTGAGACTCCTAACATTTTCATATTCCTAATAACAAATAAACAATACTACAAGGACATAGTATAAGATTCAACATTGACTCACCAGGCTGCTGCCTTAGATTTGAGATCTAGGGGAAAGAATATCAAGGCTTTAATGCAGATTAGAAGAAAGTCTACTTGATGATGTGTCAGAATGGAAGTTTATAGAGCACTTTATTACGACAGAACTCTAGTTATTTCTAGCAACTATTAAGTGAAGTATATTAGTTTTCAAATTTTTCTTTTGATCTGAACATATTAATATAAGATGAACAAAGGTTAAGGACTTACAAAACTGAACATAAGAATGATAGATACAGAAGAAATGATCAGTCTACCTGGATGTATGTGTGGTATTTGTCTATCATCTATGGGCTGCATGACATGATGTATGAGACTCAAAAAATAGACAGTAAATCTGAAGTTGGGACTATTATTCTAATTTAAGGAAGATTAGTAAAGTATTTTTATTTGAGGCTAGAAGCTCAATTGCTATTTTGCTATTCATCTCTTGTAACCTAAATAAGTAGAACTTTACTTTCTTTTTGGCAGTGTTGGGATTTGAACTGAGGGGTTTTGTGCTGGCTGTCAGGCACTCTGCTAGGAAGCCATGTCTCTAGCCCAACATTCACATTTTTTTTGGTTTTCTATAACTTCTAGGTGGCTACTAGTCATCTGGTTAATATACAACTTACTTACAAAGAAAAAAAAGAAACTTTATACCATTTTTTGGATTTCTATTATTTAAATACTTTCAGGATATGTAATTTTAAGATAATAACATGATGCCAACCATTTTGGAAAATTCTTGAAACTTACAAACTTGGCTCTTTTGAATTGGTAAGGGCTGGTAAGGTCATGTATAACCCCTGGCTAAATCAGAAATTGATATAGTTTTAAATGATTTTTATGCAATAAATAAAGTTAAGAAAAACTGTGAAGGATAGAGGAATCATTATTATCACCACTAAAATTTAAAAATTTGTTTTACCAAGTACAAGAACATACACCTACAATCCCAGTTAATTGGAGGTAGAGATCAGGAGAAACCTAGGTCAAGGCCAGTCCTGGTAAAAAGTAACTGGAACCCCATCTCAACAAAATAAGCAAACGAGGGAAGGGGTAACAGTGTTTAAAAAAGAAATGTACTCATTACCATGCTTATATAACTGTAACCCCCCTGTTCATCACCTTTTTAAATAAAGATTAAAAAATAAATAAATCAGGCATGGTGGTGTACACCTGTGATCCTAGCTATGTGGGAAAGTAGGAAAAGGTAGGAAGGTAGGGAAAGCTAAGAAGATTTGGTCTGAAGCTGGCCTGGGCAAAAACTTAAGACTCTACCTGAAAAATAACTGAAAGCAAAATAGGATGGTAAGTGTGCTTGCCTAGCAAGCATAGTACTCTGAATTCAAATCTTAGCACTGCCAAAAACTCTAAAAAGCCATCTGGATGAGAACTAAGTATGACAGCTTGGTCAGAAGCTAGGAAATCTGATGGTACAGTATCTATCCCTATGTTGTAGACCTCTTATCCACAAGGCATATATTATAGGATTGTCCTCCCCCCCCCACCACAGTGTTGGCTGAAACTGTGGACAGTACCTGATACTCACATATATTATGTTATCCATATATATATATATATATATATATATGTATGTATGTATGTGTATATGTTTATACATACCTTTAACTAGGTACCATAAGACATGAACAGCAATAACTAACAATAAAACCGAATAATAATCATATACTATAATACGTTTGTGTAACTATTTCAGTGTAGTCTAGATCCTAGCAATGTCAGCATATGATATTTTTTAAATTTTTTTAATTAAGTTTGGGAACTTCTACCTTTTCTCTTAAAGGAAGCATTTTATGACAGTCGTACTGTGAAACCAAACACAATCAATCTGCTAACAATATGATGCTAAATGACTAACGGCAGGCAACATGTACACTGGACAAGGCAACCATTCACATACCAGGTGGAACAGCACAAGATTCCATCACACGACAAATTGTATTATTTCTAGAATTCTTTTAGACTATAGTTTACTCTGGTTATATAAAATGACAGAAAGTGAACCATGGATAAGGAGGAACTTTTTCCCTTTGGAAGACAGGACCTTACTATGTACTCTAGAAGACCTCGAATTTATGACTGTCCCATCTTTACCTCCTAAGAGCTGAAATTACAGGCATGCTCCATCATGCCTGGCTTAACTATGTTAACAGTTTTTATAATGTATTGTTCTATAATGAGGTGCCATAGCATAAGAGGATCTTATGCAAAACTCTTTTTAGATACAGAATACATAATGACAGCTAAAATTAACTGATATGTGAAATTAGGGTTAGTCTCATGAAAATCATGCAGATGACAGAAACAAATCTAGTATGTTCTGTGTTTCTTTTCTAGTCATCTTGGGAATGCACAGATGAACTGAGTATTTCAGTACTATCATCTAAAGATAACAAGGAAGAGCAGAGAAAATGACCATTAAAAACATGGCAGGAAAGGAATATGGAAGAGTTGAAACAAAGGTGCCAAGTCCAGAGACTGTTTCAAGGCTAAAACATCAGCGATGTAGGGAAGAAATGAAAATCCTAACATTAACAGTGTATTTGCCATGGGAGGATATCCAAACTACACAGGTTAACTATATGTTCTTGTTGTGTACCAGCAATTTTGCTTTCCTAGAGGGAACAATACAAAAACTATTTTCAGAAATAATAGGTATTTTAGAAAGGGGTACGATCCTTTTGGCGGTCCATATCTAGGTAAAACAGAAGTAAGTAATGAAAGGCTTTAGTTTTGTTATCAGGACATAGTGGCTCATGCCTACATACTTGGGAGGCAGACATCTGGAGAATCACACAGTTCCATGAAAGGGCAAAAAATTCATGACGCTCCCACCTCAACAGAAAAAGCTGAGCATGGTGGAGTGCACCTGTTATTCCAGGAAGAGCATAGGTGTAAATGGGAGGATTGTGGTCCTGGCGAGCCTGAGCAAAATATGAGACTCATCTCAAAAAAAAAAAAAAAAAAAAAAAAAAAGCAAAAAGTACTGGAGTTGTGGCTCAAGTGGCAGAATGCCTGCCTAGCAATCTCACGACCTGAGTTCAAACACCAGCAATGGGAAGGAATATGAAGGAAGGAAGAGGGGCAGGGAGGGAGAAGGCAACCCATTTAAAGAAGGGAAAGCACAAAAGATGTTTAAATGCTAACAACCTCACCACATGTAAATGAACTATTCACAAATTAAATGAACAATTGGTAAAAAAAAATATACAGATAAATTTCAACCTCCTTTATTGTTAAATTAAAAAAAAAGCTTTACTATACGTATTTAAAAGCTATCACAGTTTAAAAGCTTTTACACTATCATCCACAAAACTTACCTGACAGCCTGGTAATCCGGTCTCTCTGCTGTACAGGGAAAATGAGCCTCTCTCAGATGTTTTGCCTACAAAAAAATTGAGAAGAATTTTGTATAAAAACTTCATTTATTGATAGGCAATCAATTTAACTTCTAGATCATTCATGGTAATTATCATGGGGCTTTAAAGTAAAATGAACAAATTACAAACAATAGAATAAAATACACACTGTATAGTGTGGTAGATCACACCTTTAATCCTAGCAACTTAGGAGGCTGACATCTGAGGACCACAGTTCAAAGCCAGCCTGGGCAGGAAAGTCTAGGAGACTCTTTATCTCCAATTAATTCTGGAAAAAGCCAGAAGTAGTACTGTGGTTCAAAGTGGTAGAGTACCAACATTGAGAAAAGGAGCCCAGGGACAGTATCTAGGCCCAGAGTTCAATCCCCAGAACCAACAAAAAAGCAAAAGACTAAGCTACCAAAATATCCTAACAAATTAGTATCATAAAAATCATAGTGTGCGCCGGGCGCTGGTGGCTCATAACTGTAATCCTAGCTACTCAGGAGGCTGAGATCTGAGGATGGCGATTCAAAGCCAGCCTGGGCAGGAGAGACCGTGAGACTCCTATCTCCAATAAACCACCAGAAAACCGGAAGTGGCACTGTAGCTCAAGTGGTAGAGCGCTCGCCTTGAGCTGAAGAGCTGAGGGACAGTGCCCAGGCCCAGAGTTCAAGCCCCACGACCGACCAAAAAAAAAATCACAGTGTGCAACTTTGCTTTTATACTGTATGCTGAAATACAGTAACAGGGAATTTTTTAACATTAAGTTTTTAAAGAGTTAAATTCTGACTTTATATAAAATACTTTATTGTCAATGTTTAACACTAAAAATGCATTCAAAAATTTGAAAAGGGGCTGGGAAGGTGGCTCAGGGGCTGGGAAGATGGCTCAGTGGTAGAGTGCTTGCCTTGCATGCCTGAGGCCCTGGGTTCGATTCCTCAGCACCACATAAGCAAAAAGAAAAAAGCTGGAAGTGGTGCTGTGGCTCAAGTGGTAGAGCACTAGCCTTGAGCTGAAGAGCTGAGGGACAGTGCCCAGGCCCAGAGTTCAGGCCCCACGAATGGACCAAAAAATAAAAAAATAAAAATTGAAAAATAGCATATGTATAAAGATGGCGTAAGGAATCTAATGAAAGCTGCTGATCAATACAGAGTTGGCAAGATGAGAAAACAATAGAGAGGGTTACTGATGAAAGTATTATATATAATCATCCAAAATACCATGATCAAAATGCCAAACTGTAGGTGAGGCTCAAGTAGTAAAACTCCAACAGTGATCAAGAGTGTTAGGTTCTTGAGTTCAAGCCCCAGTACCAAACACAAACACAGGAAAAAAAGATTTTTGCAAGAAGATCACAATTTGATTTGAATCCCACAAATGGAGGCAAAACAAACAATGGCAAGCTGGTAAAATCAATTAGCAAGTAATTAAATCCAACAAGAATTTACAGGAAAGACTTAAAATCATTGAGATTATATGAACCAAGCCCATTAAGGTATTGTTGCATGTGTTTTAGAAAGACTTCTTAGCTAAGAGGGTGAAGCATATATCAGGTGAGATGGACATTTGAGCCCGGACTTTTCAACTTGTGCTGGATTTGAACTTCAGTCTTCCAGGTCTCAGCATCTTGAGGAGTTAAGATTATTGGTATGAGCTACTACACCTGGCTCTTAAGCAATGTATCTATTCAGAATTATTTAGTTCAAACAGTTTAATATTAACAAATTTATTTTATTGAGCACACTAATGCATTAAGCAACAACAACAAATGAGTAAGGCTGGGTGCCCTGACTGATTTCTGAAGTGTGCTTTATCCTAACAGCCAGGTCTTTCCTAAAACACATAACAATGCAACACAAACTAGACTTACAGAAAAGGTTAATACACATGGCCTATTGACTTCACACTCACACACACAAATTTAATATATTCTACATAAACAATTTTAAGCATACATATGAAGTATATGGTTCTTAAGGACATATAATTTACAGGTAAGACAGCTTATCAGAGTCAAGGTGACTAAACTAATGTTTGGGATTTAGGACTCCAGTCTTCTCTTTGGTAAGAGGACTTGGCAAAGCCATTAAGGGACTGTACACTGAACACTCACCCTTCTCTGGGCCTCGACAAAATGGAGTAGAAACTCTGCTTTACCATGTGGATGTCCTGACTGAAGGGAATACTCACCCAGAATGAACTGACAAGAGAAAAGCACACACACCTACTAAATTAATTTGTGAGCATTAAAACTCATTCTTAGTACCTATCTTAAGTTATTGCCTTTATGATCAAGCTCAGTCTCACCTACTTGGCAGTGTAGAACTGGGAGACAACATCAATATTCTCAACAAATATCATGAAGTTAAAGGGTAAGACCTGTGGTTTTAGTATGCTTCATCAGACTCACCTCAGCCTTTCCTGCTTTACAAAATTCTTTTCTTGCAATATTATTTTTATGACAGTATAGACATAAAACTATGATACACTCACTCCACAATGTTTGTACATAACATAAATGCACATAATTACCTTCAGTTAAAAACAAAATTTTAAAGAATTAAAGCTAAGCAACAACCTAAAACATATTATACTTTCACTCAAGTATATTAGGTAAGAGCTCTTATTAAAAATGTTGAGGTAGAAAGAGAAGAGAGTATGTTACTACCTCTATGCTTAATAAAGCACAGCTTTCAAATAGATTCTTAATTGTCAAGGGAAAGTTATCAATTTGACAGACTGTTAAATATATAAACTAAAAGTTTCTCTTGAAATAGAAAGTTGATAATTTAAAAGTATTTAATGTATTCAAATGAAATTTTTGAAATGTAAATACATTTTTATTTCATCTTTCATTTATTAGAGCTAGTTATTTTCCCAGGGATTTGAAAAAGTTTGAATACTCTTGAAATATAATAACATATTCAGTCTGAGACTTAGAAGGCACTCATCTTTAATTCTTTCAAAATTACTTTTCACAGAACTATTTTTGATTCATTAAAACTGATCACTTAATTGTCTATTTTTATCTCAGATGTCTGAAAATAAAAACTTGTAGCTACTATATTTTGGGTAGGCTAACTTTTATAAAAGCATCATGTATAAATGCAGTATGTACACAATCTTAGCTTGTAAACTTCCACTTAACAGTTTAGGAATGATCCATCATTACCCATGAAAATACCTATGAAAGGATGATTGCAAAGACTTACTGGGCATTCTACCATAGGATTATAATGTTCTCCGAATGCACAAAACAGAAAATATAGTATTAAAATGTAAATTAATATGTAATCATCTAAATGCAAGCAAAGTAATTGAACTTATTAAATAGTAAGCATTAACTGCAGCCCTAGTGGCAGTAATAGCTTCAAAACATAAATGCTAGTTTAAGGTAACTGTAAGAACTGCATAGGGATAACAGAATTTGGTAATAGAAATTGAAGAACTGTCAGAGCTACTTTCAAAATTACAATGCCTTTTTCCCCCATCCAAATTTACTGATTTTCTCTTTATTCTGGGAATGCCTAAACCTCAAGTTCAAAATCCTACATGTTTCTATAGGGATAACCGAATAGTTTTCCAACTGAATCTAGCACTGTTGAATAAAAAGGCAGTTTACATCTTAAAAATATCATTTGACTGCTGTCTGGACAATGGGAGGAAATAAATAATTAGAACAGTATTGAAATAATCTAAATGGAAGCCATAGTGGCTTTAATCCTTAACACACTGAGGTATGTACTATTAAATCCTATTTTTACTAAAGCATAGGAGTAACCTGCCTAAGAAATAATATGCCAGAATTAATAAACAGCAGGAAGAAATTGAATGCAAAGCTAACACAAAATTCTTCTTTCTTCCCCTTCTTCTTTTCTTTCTGTGAATTGAGGCAAGGCTTAACACACACCAATTGTGTTTTGCCACTGACCTACAACCCCAGCTTGACACCAAATCCTTTTTTTTTTTTTTGTCTTGTCAGTCATGGGCCTGAACTCTGGGCCTGGGCACTATCCCTCAGCTCTTCAGCTCAAGGCTAGCACTCTACCACTTGAGCCACAGCGCCACTTCTGGATTTTTCTGCTTATGTGGTGCTGAGGAATCGAACCCAGGGTTTCATGCATGCAAGGCAAGCACTCTACAACTGAGCTACCTTCCCAGCCCCTGACACCAAATCCTTAGTAGTATATTATACTGCACTATTTTCCAAAGAAAGTTTAGGGAACAACTAAATTCCAACCACAACAACATGTAGTGGAGCCCAGGTACAACATACACTTCTCTATCCAGGCCTCCAAGGCCTCTTCTCAACTGATTTGGAACTGGACATGGAACTAGTCCTGCTGATAAGAGGGATCAAAATCTAAATACCTTTAATGTCTGATATATATATATATATATATATATATATACATACATATATGTGTGTATGTGTAGGTGTGTGTATATTATGAATTATATATGAAGTGTTCCTCTAAAAAGCTCAGGTAGCAAAGAAAGGTCCTCAATATAAGCAGTTCTCCGTTTGGAAAGTAACTGGGTTATGAGCTGCTACTCTAGCAGTGGTATGATTAACCTACCAATAGATTAAAAATCTGAATAGACGGCTGCTGGTCTTTGAGACTGGAGTTCATTGAGCAGTCACCACCCTTTTTAATAAAGACTCCTGATTCAACCTCTCAAAAAAAAATATATATCTATCTGACTAGACTATTGGAAGGTGGTAGAATGGTGGAAGGTAGGGCCTGGATAGAGGAGGTAGGTCTCTGGGGAAGTACCACCAAAGTCATGTCTGGTCTCCAGTCCCTTTCTGTTCCTTTTCAACTCCATTTGCCATGAGGTAAAGCTACTTCATTCTACCATAAGCTTCTGAATGATATTTTATCTTGCCTAAAGTCCGCAGCAATGGAGCCAGTTGATAACCATCGACCAAAATCTCTAAAACCATGAGTCAAAATTTATCTTTCCTCCTTTGAGGTGTTTATATCAGGTATTTTATTTCAGCAATGAAGTATATAGTATG